CCAGAGCAGTTTCTGAGCAGTCTGGACAACAGTGCTATCAGAAAGAATTTATAGAAAAATGGAAGTGAGATACAGCAAATAATTTAACTGGCCACAGCTTAGTGAATCAACCAGTAGGTTGGTTATAGTTTAGTTAATTGGCTATAAGGCCTCCTGCAACAGTACAGTTATTGTGATTCAACTTTTAAATTGGTTTGGTCTGCTGGGCCCCCTGTAGATGTCCAGTCCACCAGCACAGTTTCCCACAAACTGGACAAGGTCAAAATTTATAAGAAGACAATCAGGGAACCCAGGCGTCAGGCAGAGCATCCCGGTGGCGGGGAAATGTCATTAGGTCAGTTGTGAATGACCAACTCCCTTTTTGCATTTAGCAATTCTGATGTGTAGCAGATAAAATTTTATTAAAGTCAAGCATTTCATAACTCTAGCATCAGTCTTATGTAACACAATTTTATCAATTAGATTTTTTGAAAAGTTTCTTAACTGCTGTGAATCCCTTTCCAGCAATTTAGGAAAGGTAAAGTGATTTACAAAATAGGCAGAGACATATACTATGTTGTTTGTCATCATTTCCCCAAACCACTGGGGTTACAAAGAAGCATAAATATTTAAAAAGTGCTCAGGATGGTTTAATTCTGTCTTTGGCAATTTATTACTTTACGAGAAACAGATTACTGTGATGTATTCTAGCAATCACTAATTGTTTTTAGATTATAAACAAATATATTCATTTCATAATTGTAAGTGAAAGACTGCATACTAATGTTCAAAGCTATGGTCCTTTTTTGCATAACTTAAGTAATTTTAATGGATGAAAACTTAATTAAGTAGTTTCCAAGTGAAATCGGCTTCTGTAATGAATATGCCTACCTTTCACCATAATTAAAAGTGCTCTTGTGCTGTAATGAACCATTTTCGGCAAAGTTGTGGCTCTATCCAGGCCTCTGACACTCAAGTCCTGCCTCCCTTTCACCATGATCCCTCCTCTGGAGTCCTCAGTTTCCCCAACTTTACCATGCAGCATAAACAGTAAGGTAGATCATTATAATCTGAGAGTTGCCCACAGCTTCAACTCTGTAGCTCATTGCTCCTCCAGTCTTTCACCTGGCAGGAACTCCGCCCCTGTTTACTCTGACCCTCCTAGTTCTCAGCAGCAGGCGGCTGAACACAGACGGCAAACACCATACAAAGCTGCGGGTGTCACACCAAAGCCATGGCCCTTGAACTGCCCACCAGTTCTACCTTCCCATTCATTTGCCTTACGTGTATGCAGCGCATAACACCCAGCTTTGTTTGTCCATTACAAAATACCCAAGGATGTAACTAAGGGTGTACTGAGCTCACAGTTCTGGCGATTCCATCCAGTGGGGCTGTCCCATTCCTTTAGGGCCTCTGGTGTGGTGCCAGATGCCATGGTGGACAGCACAGGTCACAAGCCAAGAAGCAGAGACACCGCGAGGCCGAGGACACCCCCAGGGACTACGACCTCCCACCAGCCCCACCCTCACAGAGCCCACTACTCCCCAGTAATGCCGCCCTGGGGCCAAGCTTGTAACATATGGACTTTAGAGGGCACAGTCCACACGCAAACCATAGCAATGTAGCTCATACTCTGCTCTCTCCTCAGCCCTCCTCCTCTCCCTTCCCAACCCCTCTCTTAATGGAAGACGCTGCTTCCCGCTCCCCTGAGGAGACAGAGTAGTCTTTAGACAGTGCCCTCCAGCACCCGCAATGTGAGCACCATCCTGCCCCGCACTGGCCTGTGTTCTAAAGCCTTCCCTCCCGTAACCAGGGGCAACCGGCCAGGGTCTGAGCTGGAGAATCAGCCACAGCATGGCCCTCCTTTCTCTACCCAATCCAATCCTTTTATCCATTCTTCCTTTCTCCTACATCGTTTTCTCCCTGCATTGGCTTTCTTCCACAAGCATATAGCTGAGTGTGGTAGCGCACACCTGCAATCCTGCAAAGGCTGAGGCAGGGGAATCTCTGTGAGTTTGAGGCCATTCTGTCTCAAAAAATAACAGCAACAAAAACCCGAAACCCGAGAGCATACAAATGTGTCACCACTTTTCTCATTTAAAAACAAATTGCTCTTACTTGCAATTCCCAATCCAGCTAAGTCCCGTCTTCTCACATTCACAGAGAAACTCATCAAAAGTGACCTCTAAATGCTAGTGTTCCACACTCTGTTGCATGATCTCTGCTTGTCTTTAGTCATCCTCAGTTCTCAGTCAGATGGACTAAATCTGTGTGCAAATATGATTCATCTGGGAAGGCTTTTAACAATCCCAAAGCACGGAGCCCACCACATTCCAACTGAAGCAGAATTTCTAAGATGAAGATGGATATTGGTGGAAAATCCCATGCTCTCATCTGGCCTCAGCCGTAAAAAACCATCTTAGAACCGATGCCTTGCCTTGACCTCCAGGCTTGAATGACCAACTACCCACTTGATTTCTACATCTGGATGTCGCATATGTGTCTCAGACTTCCCAGCTCTGAAATAGAATTCCTAATTCTGCCCTCTCCAAGCTTGCTTTTGAGTCTTCTCCCTGCCAGGAAGTGACAAGACCACCCTTCAGCTGTTGAAGCCAGAGACTCTGGAGTCATCTCATCGTTTTTCACTCATACCCCACATCCAATCTGGAAAAATCCTGTCATTTCCACCTCCAAAACAGCTCAAGAAAACCTGTCACTGCTCAACACCTCTGTTGCCACCATCATTTTTCCTCCAGTGGATGTACTGCTTGCTTCTCCTATTCATTCATTGCCCAAATATTATCCACTCAGTGGTGCTTTCTCTGACTGCCCCAGTTAAAATAGCACCTAATCCCAGCATACCTTATTGTACTTTCTGACTTTATTTTACTCCATTGCACTTCTTGCCATCTGACATTCCACATTTTTCACTTTTTTTTATAGTGCTGGAGACTGAACCGAAGGCCTTGAGCATGCCACACAAGTATTCTACTACTGAGCTGCCTACCTGGCCCTCTTGTTTATTAATTCTGTGTCTCCCTTAGAATACAGGCTCGAGAAAGCCTTGCATTTGAAATAAACCTATAACATGAGAACAGATAGGCACCGAATGTTTACTGAATGAATGATTGAGTCTTTAATGTCTTAGTACACAAGTCTGTCTGTGAATACAATCATAGAAATGAATCAGAGGGAACAGAGTCTGATCATGTTAAGAAGGAAGAGCCAGCCAAGGCTGTGGTTCAAAGGTTACTATTTCATACTGTCCACTTGTTTGACAGCAGAGTTAAAAAAAGCTTTTGGTGCACAAGTGGCCTCCCTCCTCCCCCTGAAAAAGAAAGCATGAAGAGCACATCATTTTCTTTTTCAGAACAATTCTACAATTCTACAATTCTACAGAACATTAGAGAAATAAAAGCAATTAAAATGTAAACAAGAAATTGTAAACAGTACCCTCCTTCGCTCTTAACTAGTAAATAGTTTGTACAAACTACATAGATATCAAAAGTTTTATCTATGTACACACCCAACATAATAATGAAATATATTTTATTCTGGGCCTCTTTCAGATCTGATTCAAATTTCAGTTGTGAAAGCAATACAATGCAGAGGGAAACTGCAACAACAACATCAACAAAAAATGTGCCTAGAAAGGACAAAAGGGTTATTATGGACAAATCATTATGATGTGGAACCAAAATACATCATAAGTGTAATTAACATGGTCAAGGACAGCATAGAACATCTATATCAGTCTTCATTGCACAATAATCATGAAAACTGAACAATAAAGTTCTTTACATGTACAAAAAACTCATGGGCTGGTTTACACTTTTACAACAGTTTTAAAGTCAACTGGATAACTAAAAAATGATGCAGACATTTAATCCAGTGCTATAGGTAGGCTCACAGAATTGGACCCAAAGGATTTGTAAAAATCAAAATGAAAACAGAGCTGCAATGTCAAAGTCAGGAAAGAAGATTATTTCTATATTCGAGGATTACAGAGCCACAAAATGTAGTCTGCTTGTTTTTGTTTGTAATGAGATGGATAAGTACATCAGACTAGATTTAACATGCAGAATGTTTTCTCGAACTTATCCAGAAACTCCAAAGAAAACATCATGAATGGCTGGCTTACTAGGAAAAAAATAATATGCCCTAGTTAGTCACCCTGCTTCAACACTGTCAGCAGAAATAACGCTATCAACACCTCAGAGCTACTGAAATAAGATATCAAATTTCTAAATCAGTGTATTAAAAAAGTGAACACTTCCTCTTTTTTCTACTCCTACATTTAACTAGAATCATGTTTTTAAAAACTTGATATTAAATGAAAGCACGTTATTTTAATACACAACATTTTCTCTTTCCACGATCAGACTCAATGTCTCATGGTAAGTTGCTCTCCCTGGTCTAGAGCCTTCCTACCAGAAGAAATAGCAGAGGACATGTGTGGCTCTTCTGCAGACAGCGTGCACCTGTGTTACCCTCTAACTTCCCTGACTGGCCGTCGGCACAGCTGCACCATGTGGCCGGTAATCTGGCTCCCACCGAGGCTCCACGGGAGCTTGACAGGAAGCAGTGGAAAACCAGTGCCTTTATGTAGCTGCACATCAAGACTTCACTGTGTCCAGGAACCCTCTGCCCTGAGGATTCACATCACTGGATGACTCTTTTATGTACCCGTGTTTATTTAGGATATGACAAACAGATGCTAGCCAAATACAATGATAGCTTTTTAAAGGCCTATTTTATCTTCAAGTGTCAATTTCTATCTAATGTTAAGGCTTGTGAGAGTGAGCATTTATTCTGAAGCTAGCAAAGAGAATTAGCTCCGACTTTTAAAGACACGATTGCACCTATCTGATGCAGCAAGAGACACACGGCCCACGGAAACATGTAAATATCCTCCTAGGGAAACCGTAATCACTTAAAGCAAAAATATATTAACTTCTCAAATTCCCAAGACAGACTCACTGTTCATATAAACGTGTCGATTATAGGGTTGTCTCACTCACCCCATATTCAATATTTCTTGCTGCAGAAAGAGTTTTGTTCATGGATGGAAGACATTAATCTCAGTGTCCAAGGGGATAATCCTAGAAAAATTAAAAATAGTAAATAGATGTCTGCATGGGAAGGTATATAAAAACACATTTTTCTTGCAGATATAAAAGATTATATAACATTTGACAATTAAACAGGATGTAGTCGTTTGGCTGGGCTTCTCAGGCGCTTTGCTTTCATTCTGCTGTGGGAAGGCTCTGCCCCGTGGGTGAACATCTTGTCAAAGTTACAAACTTCACAATCACCCAAAGAGGAAAACGAGACCGACCGTCCATTTGTTAGCCAAGGAAAAGCAGTTAGTGGCACTTGAGCTTAAAACTATGAAACCTGACTGCCAAAAGGGACCCAAAGGAAGATCATGCCACACTCCCTCATCCCATTGTTTTTAAAACAGAGACCTTTTAAAGGTTGAAAAGATTGGGGGATCAAGTCACCTAGAAGCAGAGTGAGGCTCTTCACATGGAGGGCATGCAGAAGCCAGTATCCTTTCTAAAGCACTGGCTGCCAATCACCAAACCTGACCTGTCACAACCTCCTTTACTTCTGGTATCAAATACAGTTGTAGAATTTCATGGCAGTCTCACCGCTGAGCATATATTGCTTTCAGTGTAACCTTTCACATCTATTGGAATACAGGGAAATCTTTAATAGTAAAGGGGGAAAAGCACTGAATTGTAGAATCCAGTTCAGTGCCATAGGCGGCTTTCCAAAGAAGCGGAGGGGCTGAGTGGGAGAGGGAGCTCGTGGCTGGGTGGGAGCGGCCAGGATGGTGACAGAGGTGTGCCTGGCCCGTGTTTGGGGAAGAACTCCATTCGGCAGCACTGACCCCAAAGCATAATCATGCAGCACCTTCTACAGCCTTACATAATTGGAGGCACACTTTCATGGGGAAGACTTGTTAGAACAAGTTAGAACAGTGTTACAATGGAAACCAGCCACTCTTTTTCTTGGATATCTTAGAACTCCGCCAGCCAAGCCTGTGCAGGGTTCTATTCTGTGCATGGAAAATAGTGACCCCTCATAATGTTTTCCCAAAACAATGTTGTTTTGTCTGCTACTGGCTCCCTCCTCCTACTGCCCTCCTCTCTCCTTGCTCCTTTGCTTCTATACAGAGAGGAAGGCAGTCATATTCTCCCTACCCTTCTCTCTCTCTCTCTCTCTCTGTCTCTCTCTCTGTCCTTATTTTAATAGTGACCAGTGGAGAGGCCAAAGACAAAACCAATATGCTTTAGTGGAGATGAGTTCTCCTGATTCTGGTTGCACATTAGAATTAACTTCAGAGCTTTAAAAAATATGATTCTTACATTTAATTGTCTGGAGTGGGCACTGAGCATACGGTATTTTTTTAAAAATCTCCAAATGACTACAAGAGCATCCACTTCTTGGCTTGCCTGGGGCACAATAAGTGAAGAGGAATTGTCTTGGGCTGCATATAAAATATTTAATAAAACTTATAAAGGTAACAAAACATCCTTTTTATTATAACACAGGCTTGCCCAACCTGCAAATCACATGTTGGACATACTTATAATCAGTAAAGATTGTGCAATCATAAAGGATATGAAATTATTAATATATAAATATAAAATAACAGAATTTTGGATTGGAAGATACAGTACACCAGAAAGTTTCAGGATTCTCTCTGCCAGAACGGTGAGGAACCTGAGATCTAGGGATGTTAAGGTCTCAGAGCTCACTTAGAGGCAGAGCTAGGATTCTGGTCAAGTGACCTCATAAGCTAAATCACGATGGGATATCCCCTGATAGCTAAGAGAGACAGAGAGAATTTAGGACTTAAAAAGAAGCAACAGCTTTGTTCAGAACACACAGAATGTATGACAAGAAGTGAACACGGTAATGCCATTCAAGGACAGATTACAAGACAAATCCATGATGACTCGCAGAAGAATAGTGGAAGCTGGGGGCTTGAAGTGTCACAGCTAACAGGTGAAGGTCAGGGTGAAAATAAAAGCGACTTGGTTAGTATTAAACAGAATCCAGGTTGGATAAAACATAGATGATCCCACAAAACATTGCATATGTTCTCACCATGTAAGCACAACGCAACTTAGGTGTATTTCACCTTGTCAAGCAGAATGCTTGGGTAAATGCCAAGGGCTCCAATAGGGATCAGTGTTGTGTTTCGCCACTGATGCTACGATGCCAAATCGAACTGAACTGGACTGAGCTGGGCCACAGAACCGGAAGGCCTTACTAGTCTACCACATGTGTATTCATATGTTGTTGCCTTATAATGTTGGAGGCTCCAACTTTGTAATCTGGATTTACCTTGGGTGAAGGGTCCTTTCTTCAGTTAGTTCTGAGCAGTGAATGGTTGGGGGCCAGACAGCCGGACACAGAGCCAGACAGAATGGGTCAGAAGACCGAGGAGATGGCAGTAGTGGAGCTCTCCTTGTGTTCCTCTCAACCACGCCCACAGAGGTCCAGATCAGGGACAGACAAGGTGATAGTGTCTTGTACTGGTATCCATCAACTCAAATATTGCTTAAGCCCATTCACCCGATTGTGACTAATTTTCCCATCTTAAAACAGAGTTTAATACCTAACTTACAAGTCAGGTAGGATGCAACATGTTCGATGATATGTAGTAATGCTTCATCTAGCCTCTTCACAGAAAAGATGGGACACATATACTCATTTTTAGATAAATTTTATTCCTTTGAGTCGTCTTTTGAGAAATTATTTTAATTAACTTACTGATACAGAAAATTAATGACCCTGAGTTTTTAAAAGTATATACTAAACATAGTTTGATTTTCTCTTGAAAAGATAAAATTAAAAGCATGAATAGCAATTATTTTATATGAAAACTGCAGTGCTCTGGAAGGATTTTAAGGCATGGAAAGTTATTTGTCCATTTAGTTAATGACCCCAGATTATTGTCCTTATCCTGTTCTGAGCCCCATATTTTCTATCAGAATATCCTGTGTCTAATTTGGGTCTTATTTTTTTTAGTCTCTCACCAGTTGGAACTCATATGTTTCTAACTGAAGAAAACACATGGGCTTTTTCACAGACTTTTGTCACTTATTGGCCCTTTATATCAGTCTGTTTACTTGCCTGTTCTGGGTTTACTTCATTCTGAAAATACTGGAAACCTGACCTCCAGGAGGGTGAGCTGTTCCTTCCTGATAGATGTTTTTCCTAGAGAACACTGAATGTCAATCAATTACAAACTCCAGGAAGAACAATGGAGACTATAGCTTCGGTCCTCCTAAATTCTAAAAATTAAATATCTGTAAGTGTATAAAAATCTTCCACCGAGTACTGTCATTAGAAATTACTGTAAATCTTCAGATCGCTTTTCTGAAATGTTATATTTTCACAAACCTTGAGTTGCAAAGAGCTATGAGCCTACAAAAAGGCTTGGGCTACTGATCAAGGCAAAGTGGAGTTGAAAAGAGAAAAGCTAGGAAAACATACAATTAATTAACTTGTTAATTGTTCCCCTTAATGAGAACACCAGCCAGTGGAGATGTTTTGCAGTGGTAAATGAAGCTCTCTGCAGTTTCGGGAAGGCTGCTCTGAAGCTGTGTTTGGGGGTACAGTCCCCAAGACACGAGCGGCAGTCTGGCACTCCAGCTTCCTTTGCTTTCAAGGAGCTGAAAGCAAATCTTCCTCCTAGAAGTCGAGAGTAGCACTTAACATTGTGATGTGTAAACATCTATCCTCTTCTACTGCTGCTCAGTGTTTGAAAATCTATCATCCTAGGTGCATTCTCCTCTTTTATCTGCACCTGTGAAGCCTTTGCCTTTGGAAGGTGACAAGAGTTCATCTTCCTAGGCTCATCTGAGGTTTCCTAGGTCACCTGTCTTACTCTGCTTCTGAGTTAAATTTTGGGAGCTGAGTGCATTTCTTGGTTTGGCATTTTTGTTTTGTTTTTTCCCCAAATAGGCAAATGCATCCCATGAACATCAGGAACACAGAGGTTCTTTGGCCGTCTCAGAAAAGCTAAATCAGTTGGAGAGCAACAGGCCTCTCTGGGCACAAATGAACCTGCCAGGGCCTGTGGACAGGACCAAAGACTCACTAATCCCTGCTGCCTAACACTGCGCCTGGCATGTTGGTAACAAGCAGGCCTGCCTTGAATGGGAAATTTACAGTGACACACTGGTGATGCTGCCAGCATTGCTCTTCATGCCATCAGCAGCAGTTATTGATTGCTATTGAGTTTTCATGGTAGCTATTGAATCTTGGCAACAGCCTGAGGTTTAGATGAGAAATTTCAAAAGATCGTACCACCCAAAGAGGGATAATGGATGCATCACCCAAATGCCCTACTTAGAAAGTCATGCTGAGCAGAAATTGATCAAATTTAGGGGGCAGGGTGAAAGGGGAAGATATTTGGGTTAATCCCAGCCAATAATCCAGGATAAGTGACACAGTCCCAAAGGAGGGGAACTGAACTGGCTAATGGCTTTTCAGACATCAAAGAGCAAGGTCCTAATTCCATCAAAAGCTTGACTACAAATCTAGAATGAGGACAGAACTTCCACACTGAGCTGGGTTATAGGTGGGGATCCATCTTCCTTAGGTAAATGAGACTGTCTCTAGGCCCCACCCACTGGTGGGCAGCGAGACCCAACACACTGTCAGGTTCGGTTGTGACTGGCTCTGGGTGGAAGAGGCAGGGCTTGAGAATTAAAGTCATCAGTCTCTTCTATTTGCAATTATTCATAGTGAGCCTTCTGAGATACTCAAAACCTGAGCATGGTGAAACTGCTGCGGTAATAAGCACTAGGTGAGGATTCCACGCTATAGATGAAAGCTTCAATGATTGTGGACAAATGATCCTTTCAGGGGGAAGTAAAGCCCAGGAGTGTTTCATATCCATTGTATCAGGTTCGTCAACTACACAGAAAACAATACACAACAGAGGAAAGTACTCAGTTTTATAGTCTGAGACACCTAGGTTTGAAGTCCAGCTTCTCTGCCCATCAGTATTTCCCGCCATGTGATCTTGTTCACTTGTATACTCTCACTAATCCTTGGGTCCTCAAATACACACTGG